CGCAGTGTAAGATAAGACAAAATAATAATTTATAAATTATTAAGGGTTCATGAGGGAGGGAGGAGCGGGGAGGGAGGGAGAGGGGGAGGGGAAAAAGAAAAATGAGCTGATTCCAGGAGCCCAAGCGGAAAGTGAATTTTGAGAATGATGAGGGCAACGAATGTATAAGTGTGCTTTACACAATTGATGTATGTGTGGATTGTGATAAAAGTTGTATGAGCCCCAATAAAATGATTTCTTTAAAGATTTTTCCTGTCACCTTATTTGAACATTTCCAATGTTATCCCCTTGCAATTCTCAATTCTCTCAGCTAACATAGGAAAAGCGGGTTTTGTACTCTGATAGGAATTTTATGGTGCAATGTATTGGACATAGTAACAAAGATAAACCAAAAACACCAAACTCACCGCCATCCAGTCAGTGCCAAGTCATAGCAACCCTATGGGACAAACCTGAGACTGTAACTCCGTATGCGAGTATAAAGCATGGTCTTTCTCCCTTGGAGTGACTGGTGGTTTCAAACTGCTGACCCTGCGGTTAGTAGCCCAATGAGCAACCTTTAGGTCACCAGAACTCCTAGAAATAACAGCGATCACATGCAAAAAAATCAGAGTTTGAAGTGGGGAGGTTCCACTTTATCAACTGAATAACTTGTCCTTCGCGCTTCAGTTTCCTCAAACGTGCAGTGTGAATGGTGTTCGCTCCTCTGCCTTCCTCAGTGTTAATGCAGGGACACATGTGGAAACACCTGTGAGCTAGAAACAACTCTCCACAGAAACGGTAGTCAGCATTATCATCCATTGGAACGTTCAAAGCGATCTATCTGACTTTACCTGATAAATTTGTGTGGAAGGATTATTCACCGGCATATGTTCATTCTCTCCTGCAGAGAGAAAGAGACGTCTTCAATCACCATGACCCAATGGTCCCTGTCCTCTTCAGATACGTACAGGGAATAAGGAGACCTATGGGATCCCGTGTCTGTTCCTGCGAGACAGGAAACAACTGATTCGAAAAGAAGATGGCATAAAGCCCACGGTAACTTTATAGGACAGAGTAGAACTGCTCCATAGGGTTTCTGAGATTGGGAAATTTGAACTACCAACCTTGCAGTTAGCATAAGGTGACCAGATTTAAAGCGGGACACCATTGACTGGGGGTGGGGAT